CAAGAAGGGTGATTTGGGGCAAAAGGCTGAATTCATATTCAATATATATATGTTCAGTGCAGGGGTTTGAAAGGGAGGCTGATGAGCTGGAACTAAATACAGCAGCTGAAAGGTCTCATTGAAGGCTTTTGAGCAAGAGGAGGACCCAGAGCTCAGACTCCAGACTGGTCTGAAGGGTGCAGCACATCGCGTAGGATTTGGGAGCCTGCGGGCAGGGAGTTTGTGAGAAGCCTACTGTTTTATGTCTATTTTCTTCCTTCTTGGTTTTCTTCCTCTTTTGTCTATTTTCTCTCCACCCCTCTCCTGCTTCTCTTCTATCTTATTGTTTCCATTTTGAAACTCTTCCTCCTCCAAATACCTTCCATGAGTTCTCTACCTGACTCTTTCTTTAGTTCTTCATAGCCTGTCTTCCAGGGAGGCTTCATAATTAGGAAATAAAGGAACAACTGGCAACAACAACAAATTAATCTCAGAAGAAGTTTATTCTATAATTTTTTATAAGTAAATGTGTGGGAATTAGATTTCACTCAACTTCCCTTTCACCCTGTAAGCACTCAATAAGTGGTCGATGTTAAACAAATTTTGACTTTAAATTTTGGTTGATTTCACAGACCAAGTCTTCCAACTCAAAATGATAAACATTCTGGGGTGCACTGTCCCCTACAGGCTGTCAGAGAGGAAGAGGAGACAAGAAAGCAATATATTTCTTAAACTCAGCATATGAAGGGGCTCGCTGTTACTTTTGAAGACCATTTCCTCTTTTCTGGCCAAAAGAGCTGGCAGGTACAGAAGAAACAGAGTGAGATGATGGAGGGAATCCTGGTCTGAGAGTTGAGTATTTCAATCCTGGTGCAGCCACAAATGATCAGGGTGATCCACTTCAGACCTTTCCCCCTTTGTAGGCCTCAGTTTTCCCTTCTCTCTAATAACAAGATAATTGAGGTAACTGATCCCTATAGAACTCTCAGTTTCTCCTCCCTTGCCTCCCTTTACCATTTTAGAATGGGTTCCTTAGAGACTGCCAGTCTCAGGGGATACTTTGGGGTTGCCAGGTCAAGCCCAGAATGCGCTGGTTGGAAGATGCCATTAGTCTCCAGGGAGAGAACAGGCAATCCTTGGTTCTCTTTAAGCTCCAAAGGGAGTTCCCTTTGGCAAACTGGAGTGATTTCCTCTTTGTTCATTTCCAAACCTTCACCACATTTGAAAAGTCCTCTCCACCAAACTCTTTCTCAGATAACAGCCTGAACACATCCTTTACCAAGAAGACTGAAGCAATGAAAAATGAGCCTCCTTGACTTGCTGTCACTCAACCACTTTCTGTATATGTGCCTGAACTTAACTCCCGTCTCCTCTCCTCTGAGCTGCTCCTTACTGCTGGGTTCTCAATGTCTGGCTCCAACATTTGCTTCAGAATCTGGGCCTTGCTCCAACACTGGTTACCTCTGGCTCCTATATTTTTCATCTCCCCTTTTTGGATATTTCTCCCTACATGTATAAACATGCTGTGTCTTCCCTTACAAAAGAAAAACCCTTCCTTAACCATTGACACTCAAGTTATCACTGGGTTTTTAATCTTTTCTTTTCATGCAAGTGCTATACAGAATGAGCTATACTTGCCATCTTTACTTCCTTGGCATTCATTCCTTCTTTCACCTCTAGCCATAAGACTTCTGATCTCAGTTCTCCACCAATATTTCATTTAAAAACAAAGAAAATCTTACTTCGAGGGTAAGACCCATATTTTTCAAGAGGGCTTGAATTATAGTGCATTCCTGACTGTGCAATGCCTCCAGCCACAAGACCCAGCAGCCTTCCCAGGTCCCAGCCCAAGCTGCTCCAGCTCCTTGCCCCACTACTCAGTACACATTTTACTCTGACTCTCCTTTCTACCTCTCTTTGACTTCTCAAACCTTCCATTCACTGTGCCTATGGGCTAAAGATCTGACATCAGAAAAATTTCTATTTCCTCTACTTCTTTGAAGTTTCTCTTAACTTTCCTGTTTTAATGAAAACTGGACTATTTGCTCTGGCCTCTGTTTCCCTTGCAGTTCTCTGTAAGGCTATTTTTCTTCCCATAGTTTAAACCTTGGGACTAGAATACGTGTCCAACTTGTTCCTCTTTGCTGCTTCCACAGTGCTTCTTCCCCTTTCTCCCTTAAAAACTGCAGCTACATAGAAGAGTATGTCTTCTGACTGTTCATTAAGTCCTGTGTTCCTGTCGCGTTCCAACCTTCCAGTAACTCCATATTCATTCATGATTTCAACACCAAGATCACTCTTCATTTCCACTCTATTTCTATCCTTATACAACGAAACTTCAACTTAATTGTGTAAGCTAGGTTTCCATTGTAGCCTCTTATTACTTTACATGAGCTACTCTTGCTAATGGACTGATGACTTCAACACTGCTTCTGCCCCAAATATCTCTTCTGAACTTCAGATCCATATATCCAACTGGATATCTCTATATGGATATTTCATGCAACTTCAAATTCAACTAGTCAAAATCTGCACTTATCGTCTTTCTCACAAATCTGATTCTTTTGTTCTCAAAATCTTATTATATAGAATGAATGTCTATCCCAGCCACCCACACCTGAATTTTAGGGGTTATTCTAGACTCCCCTGCACCTCTTAAAGGCAATGTCACTTCAGTCACCTCCTCCCTAAACTTTCCCATTGTTCAGGAATTCAGAGCTCCCTGCTTCAACTTCTTCAGAGAGTAAAATTGATAGCTTAGAGGGGCAAGTTCTGGAGTAAGTATGCCTAGGTTCAAATTATAGCCTCCAACTTACACTGTGTAATTGTTGGCAAAGTCACTTAAGCTTTCTGTTTATAAAAAGGATATATAATAATACTGCTTACTTTGTAAAATTGTTGAGAGAATCAGTTGAGTTATGATATGTAAGATCCCTGGAACATAGTAAGTACTCAGTAACTTTTAGTGATGTTGACAACATCAATGATAATAATGCCTGAGTAAAGCCAGTAGCGGCAACCACATGAATTGAGGAAAGAGATTTAGGAAAGAGATAACAACTTAACCAGACTTTCAACCAAACCTTCTGTATTTAGCTCCACTCTACACCCCTGCCTTTAAGGAAACCTGGTACCTCCAATTCCTGAGACTTTATAAGTTCCAAGGGGCATATGAATTTGTTTCTTATAAGCTTTCCCTCTGTCAGGTGCGCTACACCTGCATTATCCAATATGGGAGCCAATTTGCCACAATATTGAGCTGTTGAAATGTGACTGACTAGTGCTACACACTTTGAAATGATGATATTTTACATATATTGGTTTAAATAAAAATATTATTAAAATTAATTTTACCTATTTTTACTTCTAAAACGGGCTACTAGAAAATTTTAAATTACATACATGGCTGGCATTGTATTTCCATCAGACAGTGCTGTTGTGCATCTTACACAATTTTTTTTTTTCAGACAAAGTCTCACTTTGTCACTCTCAGTAGAGTGTGATCTCTTAGACTCAAGAGATCATCTTGTCCTCAGCTTCCTGAGTAGCTGAGATGCCAGGCACTTGCAATAATGCCTGGTTATTTTTAGAAAAGGGGTCTCTCTTACTGAGGCTGGTCTCCAACTCCTGAGCTCAGGTAATCCACCTGCATTGGCCTCCCAAAGTACCAGGATTACAGGTGTGAGCCACCACGACCAGCCTCATCTTCCACAATTTCGACATTTCTCATCTATTTTCATCTTTTCTACCATTCTCTTTAGTCTTGTAATTTATATATTTTATCTCTTTATTTTTTCATTTTTGGTATGTGTCTGGGGGAAACAAAGATAAATGCATCACATATACCATGTTTGATGGAAGTTTTATCTAACTTTTGGCAATCTAGCTTCTTCTTATATTTGCAGTCTCATCACTTTGTGTACAGTCACCAACTCTATGTCCTAGCTAACATGAATTACTGATAGTTTTCTGAACACATTAGGAAGCTTCAAGCTTTCATGCCTTTGCTTTTTTGCGCCCCTTTCAGGAATACCCTTCTAACCCTTCCCTCTTGTCTGCCTACTACTCATCCTTCAAAAACTAACTTGAAGTTTACCTTTTCTAAAGAGCTTTCCCCGACTCTTCCTCCTTCCAGTTCAGCTAGCAGAACACGCCCAGCATTTTCTTGTTTAGATATCTATTTTTCCCAAAAGGGAACCCATCTTGTTCATCAGATTCTGTTTGGGGTTTGATACATAGTGAAAACTAAATGTTTGTTAAACGATTGAATAAAGACAGCAATAAAGAATGGACAAATGGTAGAGGAAGGGTGGTGTGTCTTTGAGCTGTTCTTCAGAGAAGTTTTTCACAGGTGGAGAAGGCATCAGGGATTTTCCAGGTAGAGGGAACAAGATGAGTAACGGAGTATGAAAACAAGGAGTATGCCAGAGAAATAGCAAATCATCTAGCTTGGAAAGAGCATTAGAAGACAAGACTGTGCAGGGGCTTCAGATCATAGAGAAGAGTTTGACTGTTGTCCTGAAGATAAATGGGAGTTACTGAATAGTTTTAAGCGAGAAAATAAATGGTGTTTTAGGATTATTTCCTTTGGCTGCAGATGGAAAATTAATGTGAGGAGCATGAGTGGAAACTGGACTACTGAGTTCACTGCGGTAAGGAGGAAATGGAGTGCTCTAGGGGTGGGCGAGGCGCAGTGGTGTTAGTGCGAATGGAGGGAAGCGCACAGACAGCTAATGTGCAGGCGGTAGAATGCTCAGGCTTCCGGGACAGATGGACGTGGGGAGTAAGGAAGGAGGAGTTTCTGGTTAGTATGGGATGGCGCGGGTCCATTTACAGCGACGGGTAACCAGGCGGGAAGAGCTGGTCATCTCCGATGGTAGAGGTGGGGGGTCCGGAGGCTTCGCTCACCTTGTCCCTCGCGCCACGCCGTCCGCGCAGCCCGCGGTTCGCTTGGGAGCGGCCGCACGCACTGCGGTTCCGGTTCCGGTTCCCGCGAGAATCTGGACCTGTACCTCTGAGCAACCATGGCGTATTCCACCGTACAGAGAGTGGCCCTGGCCTCGGGGCTCGTCCTGGCTGTGTCGCTGCTCCTGCCCAAGGCCTTTCTGTCCCGCGGAAAACGGCAGGAGCCGCCGCCGGCACCCGAAGGTAAGCGTGGGCGGGCCAGTCCTGATGCAGACGAGTGTCGAGACGCTGCTCGAGGGAGGGTGACCCTGGAAATCCCAGTCCCCACCGAAATACCCGCTAAACGGGTCAGAGAGTACCGATGAGAAAACGTTTTGGGCGGGGCAAGCCCGACGGTTCCGATGGCAGTGGGCGGCGGCCCAGCTGGGTTCTGCTGCAGGATGGGCCGGGAATGTGTGCATACTTGCTGGGCATCCTCTAGGCGGCCTCGCACACACCCGTTTGTTCTTTGTCCCTTCCCTCTTCCCCTTCCTGGCCGAACTCACCTTGTCACCATCTGTTCAAGTGCTTTGAGTCAGAAGGGTTGCGGGTTGGGTTTCCCACTTTGGAGTTCCTGTGTACTTTCTGCTTTGCTTTTGTATGAACTAAAGTCAGTTGGAAGGAGTATTGTTAAGCTTAATTGGTTGTGTACTTTCAACTTGGTGTTGGGCACTCACTGCTTCAGGCTCTTGTAATATAACTTGAAGATTTTAATAACCCACAATTCAGTTACTAAAGTGTACATGAAAAAATTATTACGTTCCCCTTACTTAAACGTTATTTGTTAATCTTTTGTTATCGGCATGATGTGCGTGGTATTTAAAAATCCATCCCCTCGACTGTATTCAGAGGCTTTTACGGAATGAACGTAAGGCATGGTGCTGAAGTCTGGGAAAAGGCACCAGAACACAATTCTCCGTAGGTCGTGAAGCTCTCCTGCTAACTTTCTTCTGTAAATTATTTCTGTAAATTTCTTGAGACTTGGTTTTACAGTCTGCAAATACTTCCAGTAGTGTTCAACCTATTGAATGCTGGACAGCTCCTTTTGAACTCTAATACACTTCCCTCTAATATGCCCATTGACTGTAGTTCTATTCTCCTGAACATCATAGATATCAGTACTGTAAACTTAAAGCACCAAGTTCTAGGGGTACAGAGTAGACTGAACACATAATTCTGTTTACAGAATTGCTTAATAATCTTTATGCTTGTAAGACTATATACTTGGAAGAGACTTCTAAATATTTTTGCATATTTGGTCTTTTTTTTTCTTTTTGTCTTGTTGCAAAATCCCAAAGTTTTTACTTACTTTGTCTAATGATACTGTCTGTCTTGAAGAAGAGTAAATTCTTGATGATCTTGAACAGTGAAGTAGTTTTTTACTGAGCTGAATTGCCATTATGGTGAATTATCTTGAGGAAGTACTATTGAATCATGCATGGGGGACACTGTTCTGGCTGTTGTAGAAAGTATAAAGTGGAGATTAGACATGACTCCTTTCCTAGAGAGCTCAAGTGCTGGTAATCAGTGTTCTTATCTTAGAATCTTTGTACTTTCAGTTTTCTTTGTTCCTGAAGTGCTCTTCTCTCAGCTGCCTTTTTATGTTTCAAGTTTCTGCTCAAATATAACCTCCACCAAGAGACTTTCCCTGATGACCTACCTAAAATAACTTTCTACTGCCATCATTCCCTATTCCATTATGTTGTTTTATTTTGTTCCTTGTGGGCATCATTTTATGATATGAATTTTTTTTAACCTGTTTGGTTTTTGTCTCCATCTTCTACCATGTTTCCCCGAAAATAAGACCTACCCAAAAAATAAGCCCTAGCAGGATTTCTATGCATTTGTTAAATATAAGCCCTACTCCCATAATAAGACCTAGTGATGGGTGTGGCTGTGCAGTGTATAGTTTGCCATGCATTTCATCTGCCACAGCTCCTTTCTCTGAGCTCTTCACACTTGCACGGGTGCCGGTGTGGTAACTCAGGTCATAGGCATCCTATTGCACATGTGCAAATGGCTAGGGGAAAGGAGTTCATGCATCACTAGCACCAGCCCCGCCAACAGGGTTGGCTCCCCCTGTCAGGTTCTAGAAGAAGATGACTTCACTGTATTTGAATAAATGCAGATTTTTGTATTATACTTAACAGAAATAAGACATCCCAGGCAGCGCCTGTGGCTCAAAAGAGTAGGGCCCCAGCCCCATATGTTGGAGGTGGCGAGTTCAAACCCAGCCCTGGCCAAAAACTGCAAAAAAAAAAAGAAAAATGACATCCCCTGAAAATATGCCCTAGTGTGTCTTCTTGAGAAAAAAATAAATATAAGACAGTGTCTTATTTTTGTGAAACATGATAGAATATAAGCTCCACAAGGGCAAGGACTTTGTCTTGTTTGCCACTATTTCTTTCCTTTTTAATTTTTTATTTTTTTGAGACAAGAGTCTTAAGCTGTCACCCCGGGTAGAGTGCTGTGACGTTACAGCTCACAGCAACTTCCAACCTTGGGCTCAAGCGATCCTCTTGCCTCAGTTTTCTCTATTTTTAGTAGAGATGGAGGTCTTGCTTCTGCTCAGGCTGGTCTTGAACTCATGAGCTCAAGCAGTCCACCCATCTTGGCCTCCCAGAGTGCTAGGATTACAGGCATGAGCCACCTTGCCTGGCCATGAATTTCCTTTTTCTGCATTATAAGTTACCAAAGTAGTATAAACTAGGTGGGAACATACCTTCAATGATAAATTCCAGTAAATGAAATTTTGCAACTAAAATTCTTTCTCTGGTACACTGACATTTTTAAAGCAACGAGTCCTAATACAAACTGCATTTCTCTCTAGGAAGGCACACATATTATTGGTACATATGCCCCCAATTTGAGTATCAATAAAGAGAATTCACAAGACCAGAAACCCCAGCTTTGAAGAAAGGAAAAACCCTGTTTTATTGAAATTTCTTAAAGTTTATGTCATTAATAGCTTCCATTTTTGCCCATTTGTATGTATGAATCAAGTTTTATTGGAATTTAAGAAAGGTCCCATTAGAGGTGGCAGATTTTTTTTTTTCTGGTAACAGCTTTCTTGGGATCTAATTTATATGCCATGTAAGTCACCCACTGTAGAGTGTACAATTCAGTGATATTTAGCAGATTTACAGAATTGTGCAACCATTACCACAATCAATTTGAGAACATTTTGTTATCCCCCAAAATACCTTTTTTTCTTTTTTTTTTTTTATTAAATCAACTGTATGTTGATTCATTTATGGGGTTCAGTGTACTGATTTGATATACAATGTGAAATGCTTATATTGAAGTGATTAACACATCCATCACCTGTTTACTTATTTGTTGTGGTAAGACAATTATACTCTTTTCTTAATAGTTTTGAAATGTATCATTGCATTATGCACATTAGGTGAGATCCCCTCAATTAGCCTCCTTCCTCTTGCCATATTTCCTCCCCTCACTCTCCTTTTCCCTTCTCCTTTCTGGACTATAGTTATGTTTTACCATTTGTATGAATGCGTAGGTGATTATATATTGATTTTACAGCAGTATTCAGAACATTGGATACATCGTTTTCCATTCTTGAGATAGAATGGAAGAATATATTCCAGCTCCATCCAGGTAAACGTAAAAGATGTGAAGTCTCCATTTATTTTTATGGCTGCATAGTATTCCATGGTATACATATACCACAATTTGTTAATCCATTCATGGATTGATGGGCACTTGAGTTGTTTCCATGTCTTGGTGATTATGAATTGGGCTGCAATAAACATTCTGGTGCGGATGTCTTTGTTGTAAAATTGTTTTTGATCATTTGGGTATATACCTAGTAGAGGAATTGCAGGATTGAATGGTAAGTCTGCTTTTAGTTCCTTGAGTATTCTCCAAACTCCTTTCCAAAAAGGTCATATTAGCTTGCATTCCCGCCAGCAGCTTAGAACTGTTCCCTTCTGTCTGCATGCATGCCAACATTTGTAGTTTTGGGATTTTGTTTTGTGGGCTAATCTTACTGGAGTTAGATGATATTTCAAAGTGGTTTTAATTTGCATTTCTCTGATGATTAAAGATGATGAACATTTTTTCATGTGTTTGTAGGCCATGCTCCTGTCTTCAGAGAACTTTCTGTTCCAGTCTCTTGCCCACATAAAAATGAGGTTATTTGTTCTTTTCTTATTGATTAGTTTGAGTTCTTTGTGGATTCTAGTTATCAGATCTTTGTTGGAAGCATAACCTGCAAAAATCTTCTCCCATTCTGAAAGTTGTCTATTTGCTTTACTTACTGTGCTCTTAGCTATGCAGAAGCTTTTTAGTTTGATCAGATCCCAGTTAAGTATTTTTGGTGTTGCTTCAATTGCCTGGGAAGTCCTTCTCATAAAATATTCTCTCAGGCTGATTTCTTCAAGCATTTTCCCTGCACTTTCTTCTATTGTTTTAATAGTTTCATGTTTTAAGTTTAAATCTTTTATCCAGTGAGAATCAATTTTTTGTTAATGGAGAAAGGTGTGGGTCCAGTTTCAGTCTACTACAGGTTGCCAGCCAGTTCATCCAGCATCATTTGTTAAATAGGGAGTCTTTCCCCCACTGAATGTTTTTGATAGGCTTATCAAAGCACAAATGACGATTGGTAGCTGAGTTCATCCCTTGGATCTCTGTTCTGTTCCATAAATCTATCGCTCTTGTTTTTTGTGCCAGTACCATGCTGTTTTGATCAGTATAGATTTATAATATAGCCTGAAGTCTGGTAATGTGATACTTCCTGATTTGTTTTTATTTCTGAGTAATATATTGGCTATTTGAGGCTTTTTCTGATTCCGTATAAAACAAGGCACTATTTTTTAAAGCTCTTTAAAGTATGACAATGGTGCTTTAATAGGGATTGCATTAAATCTGTAGATTGCTTTGGGTAATATAGACATTTTAATGGAATTTAATTCTACTCTTATGGAAAACTCTTAAATCAACATTTAATAATGTTGATTCTTCCCAGCCATGAGCATGGTATGTTTTTCCATTTGTTAACATCTTCAGCTATTTCTTTTCTCAGAGTTTCATAATTGTCTTTATAGAGATCTTTCACATCCTTTGTTAGGTAAATTTCCAGATATTTCATCTTCTTTGGCACTACTGTAAAAGGAATAGAGACCTTGACTATATTTTCAGCTTGACTGTTGTTGGCATATATAAAAAGCTACTGATTTGTAAGT